AAACCATTCTAGGATTCTATGAAATACTGCAAAGCTTTGCCTAATCTCAAATATGTATACATATAGGAGAGACACATAGATGTTTATTTTGCCAATGTAACAAAGTGTGATTAGGAATTTCCCAAGAAATTGGGAAATAAAACTTTCCTAAACAGCTGTGTATCTCTGAAGTCATAGTTGTTAAAACAACCAGGCTGGTGCTACTTTACTGTAAAAGTAGCTGAGGGGCATGAACATTTTTCTCTGATTTTAATCCACCTCTCCCTAGTCATAGGGTTGCAATTCAGCATTCTCCTGCAGGTGAAAGAGTCTGACTTGTATAGGGTCAGTATAGCCTAAGTTCTTTGGAAAGGAAGACTCACTGTCTTTCACCTCCTCTGTTTAGCACCCTTTGTCTCGTGGAAGTAACATAGTTTTCCACCTTACCTCAGTGTTCCTTTTAACATCAATGCTGTTGCTGCCAGTAAAATGTACTGGTGAAAGTAACTGAAAGCTTTAAAACATTGTAATTTTGTAATTTACCACAGAGCTTACGTAACTGGATGTGTTTTCAGAAGGGAACTTTAGTATAATGATTTTCTTCTGCTGATTGTTTTTGAATTCTCTGTCATTAGTCTCATGCATACTAATAGCGTCTGTAGTGTGTGTTGGACTTAAAGACAAAGGAAATGATTACCCCACATTAATCAGTTAGAACTGTATGTGCCACAGAATTCAAGGTGGACTGTACCATGTTCAGTCTAGTACATTGTTCCCCACCCTGCTCTTTTCTACTCTGAGCTGAAATGAAGAGGTAAGTAATCACACCCTTAGTAAGAAAATACTAAGACAACTCCTGGAGTAATTGCTTTCAGTGACCATGTTTGCAGTTGGTATGGTTTTTTTCCCCATTTTTTTAATTGTTTTTGCAAAAAGCAAGCATTGTGGAGACCAATCCCAGAAGTTTTCTACCGAACTTGCACTGACTTTTTTTCCCCATGAGGATTTGTGAGAATTATCACTCTTGTTTTGAAGTCTGTCCTGTACTATTTTCACGGTCTTGTCCCGTATCCATACAAGTTCCAGTGGAAAAGAGAATACCAGATGCAGAATCAGGAGTACTCTTTTAGGTAACAAACTATGCTGAAATATAGTGTTAATATTTTTTTCTTTCTGCCTTGCTTCCAGGATGCTACAGTTATCTCCCACCTCATGGCACTGCTCAGTAGATCTCGATATACACAAGAATACATATGTCAGATCTTCTCACATTGCTGCAAAGTAAGCAAGAGAATAAGTGTTCTTTATGCAACTTGTTGTGTTTCTGGCATGTAGGAAACTGTAAGATGATAATGTTTTTTGTGGCAGGAACACCAGGGTGGTAATGGCTGAACTGTTATTGCTCTGGATTTACTGACAGATTTATTGGGGTTGTTGTGTCTTTCTGTATAGTAAAACAAAATATGTGAGTAAGTGCTTTTTTATAGGGGGTGTGTATATAGTTACCTTTGGCTACTAAACAGTCAACAGTCTCAGGAAATATCAGTCCTCACTATTACCAATATAAATTTTGGAAGGCTTGTTTTTTCTCCTCTGGAAGTCTCAGGACAGTGCGAGCATCTCTTTGCAGAAGTCTTGGTCCAGCTTTCAAGACAGACATTTTAGCCCAGAGAATGTTTTCTAAGAGGTAGAGCAGGTGGAGGAAGAAAAACGCTCTTCTCGGTGTTGCTCTAGCAGCTACAGGTTTATCCAGATACTGCTGCATAATGCAATTCTCTTGATGTGGGAAAACTCATTTAGAAACAGCAGCAACCTCACCCCAAACACAGAGGGTTTTATCTTCCTTCCCCCCTTCCAAGTTTCCACAAACCACTCTTTGTATTATTGTTGTGAGGTTTTGGTAGTTACTGCACCCATGGGTTACACAGTAACTGTATCAAATTAATTCAGTGTAGGAAATCAGATTTGTACAGTGTTTTTCCCTTTTAACAACAGTTTAAAGCTAAAATATCATAGATCAATTTATCTCCCAGACTCACAAATGAAAAATTTCCAAAATTCATTAATTTGTACCTATTGGCCTCAAAAAATATCCTTACACCTTACAATGAGTCTTCTGGAATTCTGAATTCTTCCTTTGTTAAAAATGTGTTTTCCTCTACCTTAACTGTTTTTTACGTGCATTCTCTTCTGCAAAGTCGAACTGAGGACTGAGAACTGTAGAGTCAGTGTGATTTAAATATGACTCAGCTGCTAATAGTGGTAGAATTGTTTAAAGGAAACAGATAAAATCCTACACTGGACTGTGGCAGTTCAGCTCTACAGCTAATACTGGAAAAAGAATTTGGTGTTTTAAGAAAAATGCCCCAGTGAGGCATCTCATGTTCAAGTGGCCCTTGAAAACCTCTTTAATCGGCTGGGTAGCTTGAATAGGTAAAAAATAGAGCCATGCTGACTTACAAGAAAAATAAGAGGACTGACTGTAGAGTGGTTTAGAAGTCAGTTTATACGATCGCGTGTTAGCTCAGTAGCAATATAAACCCTGTTCGGCTGTGTGAAAACTGTTGAGTAACTTCAAGTAATTAATCCAGCATGGAAACAGTTACTGTAATCTCTTTCCAATTGAGTTACTTCCTTGTAGCTCCACTAACTAACTCCTGGTAATTATATATCAAATATATTGTTAACAAAGCAGAAGCCCAGTCACTTTAGAGTAAGTAAGGTCTTATGAACTCACTATACTGTTTTGAATGCCACCTTCACCCCACAAATCTGTCAAATAAAATTACGAAGACTATTCTGAAAAATTCAAGAGTTTGGGAAGAAAAAGTTGATTATGTGAACAGATAGAAACACGAATGCACAAGAAAAACCCGGACGTGGGTATTAGGAAATAGTTGCATTTACAGAATAAACATTAGCTGCATAACAAAGAAAAACACTTGAGGTTGAGTAAACAGATTGTCACAAATGTTAAATTGATGAAGAACTCATTTCTCTCTTGCCCAGGCAAATGCAGCTGTTTAACAGAGACCTAAAATGTCCCCCTTTTTGTTTAGTTCTTGTGTTTCACGTCTCATTATCAAGGTCAATTGTTGTCTTTTCAGGCGTAACAGAATACAACTAATACAGTGAAGAAGAATATGTAGGGGATTTTCTTATCTATATGGACAGACAAAGTATGTTTTTATAATAAAAAAAAAAACCTGAAAGTTTTAGTGTTCGCTGCATTTTTAATGAAGGTTGCATCTTCCCGCCCACCCCCAAGGCCATGAGTGAGAGAACTTTCCTAACTTTTTCCTGAAGAAATAAGTTACTTAGCATATATTTTGAGGCATTGATGTTCTTATTTCTCTTTTACCTCATCTTAGTGGATTTATTCATTAAACTAATATCATAGCTCCTACTCTCCTTGTTCCTGCATACTGTTCTCTGCTTAGATCTTGTGCATCCATTTTCTATCTTCCTTGCCCAAGTCTTGGTTGGTTGGGATTCTCCCGTTTCTTTCTTTCTCTCTCACCTGCTCAGATTTCCCTGGAAAATCTCAGACCTGTTCTCTTGAGCTAGGAAATCCTTAATTCAGGTTCCTAGCATATTGCTGCTGTTTTCTGGTTTTACTGCTTCTCACTGCATTTTTAGAGTTAAAATTGACTGATGGAAAACATTGACGCTGGAGAAGAGCCATGCTAAGCAAGGGAAAGTGTTGATTTACACGGGGAGCAGATTCAGTTCTTAATATATGGAGCCAGGATTCTATCAGCAAATAAACTGAAGTCAGGTTAATGTACAAGGCGTACTAAAATGCAAGTCAAAATTTACTTTTTAAGGTTCTCGCTATCCCAGTTTACTTGTTTCCAGAGAAAGTGACGTGAGTAGGTAAGCTGCACTGTTTTAATGGTCAAATTAAAAAGATAAGGTATGCTTTTGGAAACACACAGATGTATGAATAATTTGCAAAGATAGCTCTGGAACTTATATTTGAATGTGGTGACATTTCTGTGTAGGTAATAATTTCACCACCAGTTGAAAATTAAAAACTTGTGCCTGGGAAAGATCCAGGATAAATATTCCTGTAATCAAGGCAGCTTCCTCCAAAGCCTGTTCTGAGAATGTTGTCTTACGTGATCTTAGGCCTGGTGCTGGATCCCTGAGCCAAGGTGCATTTGAATTTAGATACCTGCTTTTAAAACTCCGTTATGGAATGAATTATAACGTTCTTCTGCTCTATTACTTTCTTGAAAATTGATATTTTATGATGGGAAATCATGCAAGGAGTGCGATTTCTATCCTGAAATATGTTGTTCAATCATATTTAGAGAAAAAGATCACTTGTGCTAGGACTGTCTCCAGCAACTCTGTGGATATACTCAAATTGAAACAAAAGCGAAAGGCATTGCTGTTAATTGATGCCTGAGCTGCTTGGAAATGGTACATTATACTCTCAAGTTTTCACAGTTATACGTGAAGCTGTCCCTGTTGGTGGGTTAGTGCTTAACCTGACTGTGTGTTAACTAAGGTGGATTGGTGTGTGCAAACTCGGTGTGTACACATGAAGTATTTTCATGTATGTCTAGTCATGCAACTGAGATTACACCCAAGTGTCACCAATGTACCTGTGTTTGTCCTGTTTGCACAGAATTTACTGTCTGCATCTTGTAGGAGAATCACTAATACTTGTGAATTACTAAAACTATCTAGGTCAATATAATTTATTTTACTTCAATTTCATTCATTTTTTTCATGTATGTTAATATCTGTTCTTCAGCTTCCACACTGGCATAGCTGCGGCTTTAAATCATTGCCTCAGCCACTTCTGCGTGCCAATGTAAGTTGTTTTCCTACTTAAACCATGCTGTTTTCATTGCATTTTTTGGTAGAAAGCTCTTGGTGGCAGTAGCAGCTGAAGCATCTCTTAAAGCACCAGATATGTTACATCTAAAAGTAATTTTATGCTTTTTTTCTTAGAAGTAAGGGATGTTCTAAAAATGTTCTCCGGCTTATAAGAGGAATCAGATTTCAGCTGTAGCTCAAATGGGAAATTAAAGTGTCATTCATGCATATTACGATGTATGGATGTGCCCATGAACTCAGCTGGGTTTGAACAAAAGATTAAGGAGTGAAGATACTTTCTTCTTCACTTGCAGATTAGTCAAGAAAAACCATCCAGGTATGATTAATGCTGCGACATACCGAATCTAAATTGCACACAGCCTGTGCCCAGTGCAGGGGTGACTGGTGTCACCAGTCTCCTTCTAAAGAGATGTTTGTAAGCCACAGGTCAGATTTCACAAGAGGCTGTTGGGGTTTGCAGGCCCCATTAAGATTTCACGGTGTTTTATCCAACCTCATCGAGCCTTGTCATACTACAGAAGTTCCGAGACCTTTCTACTGCAAAATTCAGTACTTGTGTTTAATTCCAAATGCTTTTTAAATCCTGGAAAAAAATTGACTTACCAGCCATTGTTGACTTAGATACTGCAGTCAGTAATGGGTGGTGGCTGACTAGATTTATGGTTAAATATGTTTGAAACAAAAATAATCTGTAGGAGGAAAATGTGAATCTGTTCTCAAAGCGCTGTCACATTCTGTCTGGAAACAGTTTCAGAATTAATTCCCTCTCTTCAAAGTTACAACTGTTGAAAATGTTTAATATTGGCAGTGAAGAAGGCATTATTAACTATGGATTTTTCATATGATTTCTGGAGAAAATCAGGAGCTTTTGGTTGTTTTCAATACGAAGAATAGAAACGAAAGCACTCTGTCCCTGTTTCTTGAATTGTGAAGACTAATTTCATTGCCTATTGAAGAAAAGAGTGAAAATGATTACCAGGAAAGGACAAATGTTATGAAAATAAGAATTGAACTTCTTTATTTAGAAAGAGAAAGTTGGTATGCCAACTGATTACAAAGTAAATGTTAATAAATCTACCTTTAATACTTAACAGTAAGTTGCAGGCAGTGGAAGCCTCTTACTGGTTCTTTTCAAAAAAACAGGTAACGTTTTATGTTTTCCTTTGAAGGGTCCAGATCACCAGACAATCTTATTTAACCACGGAGCTGTTCAGAATATCGCGCATCTCTTGGTCTCCACCTCCTACAAAGTAAGACGTTAGAATTATTTCTTGTTCTATGTATATTTATGAAGGGGGGAATCCAAACGAAGATTATAAAACCTGTGTCTGTGAACTAGAAGTATAAGTAGGTATAATGTGTATTTGTAGGGGTAACAGTTGTTTTTGTTTGTTCTATGGATTTCTGTTAAAATGAGACCCATTGTTTAAGTGCTCTGTGAAGTTAAAACACTGGCAGTTAAAACAGAGCTGCTGGCTTTTTGATCCAAAGGAGGACAGTCACTTGGCAGCTCAATAAAAAAGGTCTAACTTGGTGAACAATAAATGGGAGAAAGAAAATAAGCCAAAGAGAAGCAAATGTGAGCTGTCCTAAGCAGAAGTCATACCTGTGACAACGTGGACATGGAATGTGTGGAGGTCACCAGGTATCTGTGTTTTGTGCTAGCTGAATCCCCTGGGTCTTAGTTCTATCCTCTGTTTTGTTTGGAAGTCCATCCTGGACTATCTGGAAGTACCACTCCTGAGGAAAAGCATCACACTCTACCTGTACCTTGGGAGCAAGGAGGGTCAACCAGCTCTTCTCAGTCTAAGGCCAAAATTTCAGATGCTTAGCACAACCTTGGGTATCTGCTGTAGGTTACTTAATGAAATGTTTGAGGGCATAAAGTGAGTTTGGGGCTCTTCTATGCAGTTTGGGTTTTTTGGAGGGCTAACATGTCTGCTATGCAAATGATTTTGAAATCTCGCTGAAGGAAATCCTGTGATCTCTAAGCAGTTGAACTTTCATGGACTTTACTACGAAAGTCAATTTATCAATTTATCTCCCCCTCCTCAAAGTATGAATGTTATCATTCCAAAAATAAGAAACACTTCAAAGCATCCAAATTTATCTTATTTTTATTACAATATCAAATACAAAATATCTAATACGTTATCGTGCCATTTTTGTTTTATTGAAAGTGGCTGTTCACTGGTTGATTGAGACTAGATGAGGTAATTGTGCTTGTCTATTTTGAACTCCTGCCTAATGGAGAACACTTTTGATAATTAATGTATCTTTCAAAATAAATGAGAATTTCAAGTGAAGGGAAATTTGGTGCTCTGTTCCAGGGAATTGTTAACCTCATGGAACTTTTTGTTAGTAGTCATCATGGTAATTTTACTATCGTTAATTATTAGAGCAGTATTCTGTAGGATAGTTAACGTCCAGCTAGACTTGAGTTGTTCTCATTAGAACCTTTAGCCCCAGTTCCAACTTCCTTCTGGCAAGAATACAGCTCTTGAGCTGTGGGTCTGACTTTTTCCAGTGCTTTTTTGATACACAATCACTGCTTCCTCCTGCTTTAGAAGCATACACTAAATGGAACAAAAGTACATTCTGCAGCCAGGTAGCCTTCTGTCCATTCCTTCTGACTTCAGTCCTACTGATGAGAAGAGATCTTACCATGGCTGTGATTAGATATTATAAATGTCATAGAATTACAGAATGTTTTGGGTTGGAAGGGACCTTAAAGATCATGTAGTTCCAACCCCCCCTGCCATGGGCAGGGACACCTTCTACTAGACCGGGTTGCTCCAAGCCTCATCCAGCCTGGCCTTGAACACTTCCAGGGATGGGGCAATGTAATGCACAAAAGTGTGATTGTCCTTGCTGTTGTTGCCTACCCTCAGACTTTTGTGTTTCTAAGGCTTTGTGCCGAGGAGGGGGGAGATGGACCTAAACCTAACGCGCAGTAAGCGCTTTATGCAGTGACGGGATTCTTTAGGTCAAAATCTTGTTCCTTTTGTTTTGTATTCACACTAAGAATGGTAACAGAAACATGGAAAGACGTGGATACAGTTTACATAAGTGCAACTGTTTCACCTGGGAGGATGATAATGGTTGGTCTTCCCTGTGTCAAAAAAGATTTTGAAAGTTTCATAGCCTAGAGTGACTAGGCAACCATGAAATACTGTTTGATTAAACCGAGACATGGTTTTGGACCAGGGGAGGAAGATCCAGCAGGAAGAAATTTGTGAATCCTTTTTGTACAGACATCACAAATAAGTGTTTCTGACTCTCAGGTTCCTGAGTTTCATCCTTGCTTGTCTTTTTCACAAATAGTTCCCAACATACCCTGTGAAAGGATGATTCCAACAGGGAGATTACAGGAGTCAAGGTGTGAGTTAGATGTTTCCATGTGCCTTCTGTTGATCATGTACATTTCTTAATGATTACACGGACTAGTTGTCTACAAGCCCATACAAGCAGTATGGACTGATTTTGCTTTTCAGTTTGCCTTTACATTTATGTCATCTATGTTATGTTTTTACACAGGTTCGAATGCAAGCACTGAAATGTTTCTCAGTTCTAGCCTTTGAAAACCCACAGGTATCAATGACTCTTGTAAATGGTAAGTGTAATGCTGCTGTTTCTTATTTGGCACTCATTGTATTGACTGGCTGAATTGGAATTACTTGGAGTTCTCTTTCATTGCTTGCAGTGTCGGTTGATGGAGAATTGTTACCGCAAATTTTTGTGAAGATGTTACAGAGGGACAAGCCTATTGAAATGCAGCTCACATCAGCCAAATGGTAATTTTCCTCAGTAATTAGAAGGCAATAGTCTGCTATTTAATACTTACTTCTAACTGTTCCCTTTGTTTTTGTTGCTAAGTAATGTGATCTAAAATCTTAGGAATAATTATAGGTATTCTTTGCGTTATCTAAATCCTTGAAGAAGTAGTCATTCTCACCTAATAATCTTACAGCATAACTTCCACTCTTTGCTATACAGAAGTGGGGAAAAGTGTTGCTGGTCCGTTTAGTCAGGAACTTGTATTCAGACGTGGATTTTCATAAGCTGAACTGCAGTTTTCATAAGTAAAGGTTTCATAAGGTTTTGATGTTAAGTTTTGCTTTGAATAGGCTATGGTCAGTCATACGCCCTTATGGAGTGTAATACTGAAATACAAGTTCATGTTCCTGTGGCACCTCTGTTCAGAGGACTCAGGTGACCAGGGCTGTGGTGTTTTGAGACCTGTATGTGCTAAGGTGATGCGAGAGCAGGGCTAGTCTGTCTTCCCAGCTGCCTTAATTTAAATAGATTGTTCTTCAGGCTTCATGGGCATGCTTCTGTGTGCTCAGATTCACACTGGCTCTCTACCCTGTGACAAAATGTGACCGAGTTCCATAATGGCAACACTAGGGTTACAGTTCTGGGTGAGGAGCAAGGGGGGTATGCAGATGGGATGGCCTCTTTTGTAATGGTGCCCTTATGATGTCTTAAACCCACTCATGAAAGCAGTTATAAAGTATGCGTGTGGGGGTTGTCTTAGCAAGGTAATTCTGCTCCATGTGGGAGGTCTGTCTGAGGACCTCCCACATTCCCTCAACCACAACTGGTCTATGCAGTCTGGTTTTACTGGTTTTGTTAGGTAGCTCTTAGTGAAGATTGCAAATTAAATTAACTGCATTGTAGCAGTCTCAGTTCTGATCGATTTGTGTTTCTTTGAGAATTCAGAGAACACGTAGAGAATTAAGTATTAGAATTTTTGTTTTACTCATCTCAAGGTATAAGGCAGTTGATAAGTCATGAAGGGAGCCTGGAGTTGTTCTGGCTGGACTGTCTCCTCGTTCGGGGATGAACACTCCCAGGTCCAGGTGTTGATGTTCTGTACTGATCGCTTGAAACTGCAAGGAGTTGGTAGACAATCCCCTGTCTTCTGCTGTTGCTTTGTGGTACTTTGGCTCAAGTGAACCTTTGAAAGCCTGGAAGAAAATGATGCGATGAAAAGCCAAAAAACCTGCAGGAAAATGGAATACAAACCAGTATCGAGTTTCAGACTGGGTTTCTGATTGGTCCATGGGCAGTCATCCTTAGTAGGGACCTCAAGGCCTCAGTTTCACAACAGTCCTAGGGACTCACAAAGACCTGCTGGCTTTTCTAAGTCCACTTCCTACTTGATTCCCACCAAGTCAGACAGACTCTCCTTTCTTTTTTTCTAATGAGACTGGTAGGTGAAACTGTCACAGGTCCTTTCTTTTTGGGCTTCTAAGTTAGCTGTCCCTCCTGCCTTGCCAGCTTTGGTTAATTACTCTTCAGTTCCTCTCTGATTTAGTAGTAAAGTCCTTGGAATGCAGATGCATAAGGGTGTTGGTGTTTGTTTTTTTTTTTTTTTTAAATGCATTTGTGAAGCCTGTTGTGAAATTCCTGGTTGCACCCAGACTAGCATGTGGGAATATCTTAGGTTTCCGTTGTTTTTCAACAATTGAATTAGACTTGGAAGACCTGAGTTAATACCTCTTGATTGAAATGGGGTAAAGATCTTCCACTTGAGCAGCAGCGTTGGCTCTGGGGAAGAGCAGCAAGCCTCTTGGGAGAGTGATTTGCAGCTACAAGTGGAGCAGTAACCTTTCACACTAAAATAACCGGAATTGCTTCCAGCTAAGCCAAGCCTGTTTTACCTTAACTAAAAATACTTTAACTACTTTCATGTTTGACACAGAACTACTTTGTCTGGCAAATAGGGTCTGGCTAGGCTAAATGGCAACTGCAAGCTTGGTGCTTTTCTCCTGATTGTTCAGGTGTGAAAATTGAGATTTTTGTGCTGTCAGCCACAAGGCTTGGGCAGTAGAAGTTTATGAAAGGATCTCTGTGCTAACAGTCAAATCTTATCTTTTCACTTCCGACAAATAATATATAAAAAGACTTCTGATTATGGGATTTTAGCTATGCCTGTTACTGGTAGGTGTTTGGCACAGGATCCATGATGTTACCTTTTGAAGAGGTGAAAGAACTCTCTTTAGGCATTGGAAAGAGCTCAGGAATGCAGTGAAACACGGTTACAGTGTGTTAGCGTATTACTGCTCCTTAGCTGAGCAATTATAACTGGCCCTATGTACACTTTCAACCTACCCAATTGGAAGTTGAAACATGTTTGGTTTAAGTCGCCTTTACTGAAATTTACTTATTTTTTTAGCCTCTACTGTGGCATGATAAAAACCAGTTAAAATGGTGTAGTTCAAAAGCTAAACCGAAAGACACTTGGCTGTTCCTGCACTGAATCCAGAGCAGTTACCTGCCAACTTCATTCCACTTCCTTGTAGCAAAGCAAGTAAAAAGTGTCAACCACTTAAATGCGGACCACTTTTATTAGTGGGTGAACTACTTTGCATTTCTGCTAGCTTGGAGCACATGTACAGGTAGATTAACCAAGCAACCTCTACATTTGTCTGATGTGTGTCAACATCATTGTTTGGGACCTTGAAGCTGTCATATCCACTAAGTTGTTGTCTAATAAAGGACAAATGCAGGTTTCCTTGTGTCAGAGGCTTAATTGTGTTCATCGTAAGCAAGGATGTGCTTATTCCAGCAGAGTGTTAAGGCATGCCTGTGGATAAGCATCACAGTAGCACATCTCCTCGGCTCATGTGAAGCTGGAACGGTTTCTGACTGAGCTGTCAGCCTACCAACCCTGTATCCATTCTCTCATGATTAAGTGCTTGCCAATGCTGTTTGCAGCAAAGGACAGGTCTATGTATATTGCTCCTTTATCTCAATTCAAGTTGTTCATTTTGGGGTTTTTTGATGGCAAAAGAGGTTTGTGGATCTGTCGAGCTTGATTGTTGGACTTGTTTTGACTAGTGTGTGGCATATATATTGATCATTGCACCAGCAGGACGTCCTGTACTGGAAATCTGCCTAGAAGTGTGTCTGTAGTAGTTTGCCTGTGTGCCCGTCTAGTAAGTACTGGTGTATCAAAATCAATGGTAGAACAAAGGGGAGCATGTAACAATAGTACAGTTGGTTGTTCTGCAGCATCTTACGTAAGTGCACAAAGACTAATGATAGGTGAATGTATGTTTTATGTCGTTACAGCCTTACTTCCATGTGCAGAGCTGGAGCAATACGGACAGACGATTCCTGCATTATTCTTAAGGTAAGCTGGTTAAAACAGCTTTCTGTTTTAAATGTTTTTGTCACGTAAGGCTGTGCTGCTTTATTTGTTTCTTATAAAAAGTAGCACAAGATCTGTTACACTCAAGATTTCAAAGCACAAAGTTCTCCTGATGTTATTTAAGAAAATAGTTCCCCAATTGTCCTTTGTGTCTTTAAGCATTTAGAGTGACATGACTTCTTAAATAAGCCTTGAATAAAGAATCATACTAAAAGGTCAGTATCCAGGAATAAATATCCCAGAGTTCGACACCTACCCATTTGAAGTTTGTAACCATTTCAGTCACCATTTGTAAGTAACATGGAAACGACGTTACTGCCCTGGTCTCCACGTATGAACAAGGCACTGGTTTGTCTTTCAATAGCTTATTTCACAAGGCTGTAGTCAGAGTACCTGCACAGTCTATACAGGAGTCTGTCACAGGCAGATGATTTCTCCAGGTTTCACAGTGGTTTTGTACATTTGTCTGCTTCATCCTTTGGCTGGGGAAATTTGTTATAAAAAGCAAAACTGTTGATGAGCAAGTGTATCAGCCAGAGATCAAATAATACTGACGCTGTTTGTTTCTCCATGAGATACTGAAGTATTACTGCAATAAGAAAACGTGTTTGCTTTCTTTGATAATTACAGTAGCAGTGTCGCAGGCTCCAAAGCTTGTAGTATGTTTTTAGCATCCTTCATTCCAGAGAATAACATGTAGTTCAGGCTTAAGAAAGTGTGGTTTTTAATACCTGAAAAAATATCATTTTTACCCTATAAGTGCCCTTCTGCTGAGATTGAGATGATGATGTGTTCTTGGAATGGGTCTAGCAAATGAAGGGTCTAATCAGCAAAGTAGTCATTGTCAGGATTTGGGGGTGTGTGACCTGAGACCCAGTGACTTCTTAGAGTTCTTTGGCTGTGAAGGCCCCTTTGTGGTGCTGAGATCCCATCGTGAGAAGACAGCTAGTAAGTGTATGCGTGACCATAGCGTGTGCTGCAAGTCCATGGCACTGCAGATAACTGTGTTTATGCTTAAAGCAGCCAGTGCAACTAAGTAAGATACTGCAGTAAGAAAGCATATTTATTCCTTTCGATGTCCATGGCAGTAGAGTCTGGCATATCTACAGCTTCTGTTAGTGGGAATTTGATATCCATCATTCCAGGTAATGGCAGATGAACAATGCATATGTTGGCTGAGTCAGAGGCCCATCCCTCCTGTGTCTTATCCAAGACAGGCTAAAATATAGTTCACTCCACTGTTGCTGGTGTTAATAGTGGCATCTGTTCTGCACTGGCATGTGGTCTTACAGCAAGCAAGGAAGCCAAGCTCCATCCTTCACCTTCATTCTCCTGCTTAGCTTTTTTCCCATATCAACACTCCAGTTCCCTGACCTCTCTTTCTCCTTGCAACATGTGCGAACCGAGGGCTCCGTGCTCCCAACCTACCTTGCTCCTGCAAGCTTCATTCTTCTTTTGAAAACTTCTTCCCTTCAGAAACCCCCCGCTGTCTTCTTAACCCCAGGCTGTGTCCTGCTCAGGACGTGTGGGTCCCAGAACTGTTCTGCTCTGGGGAGATGAAATGGGAGACTAAGATGTAGGCAGAGGCAGGTTATTGCTGATAGCTGGTTGCATGCAGCTCTGCATGCTCTGCCACGTGAGCCAAATGGATAACGGCAGTCCTTCCAAACTGTTATGAGCTGATTGGCTTGCCAGCCTACAGCAATAGGAGCACTTTCTTTATCATGGAAGCCACTTCTTTGCAAGTAAACATTGTAAACTTTGGACTAAAATTTATTGAAATAATAAATAATTAAGAATAGACAAAAGAGTGAGGCCAGACGGAAGACACAGAACCTTGCCCTCTTGGTCAAACTACTCATGTAATGTCTTTTCCTCTGCAGTCACTCCAGTAGCTCATTCACAGTTTTAAGATAAATTTAAGGTAACGCTGTCTGTGTCTGTAGTAAATACAATCACAAATTGTTTGACCTCTGCTGAACTAAACCAAAGCAATGCTCCCTTCAGTTTCCAGAAATCATTGAAGAGAACTTTCACCCTTTGCTATCGAACTTTCTTCATTTGTAGGGCAGTCGGGGATGCACGGTTCCAAACTGGTTTTCATTTATTATCATTGCCCAGTTTGAGTGGTCTCTTGGCCTGTAACATGTGAAAAAATAACATCAGTTGGGTTGGGTGAAGGTTGAGGAGGCTGATAAATAATGGATTTGCTTGGAAGGGAAATTATTTCTCTGGAATCTTAAGAACAGAAGTGACTTTTTGTCCAGATAACCCCGATGCAGCCCCGCAACACCATGCAAATGAAGTATTCCATCTTTTCAGCCCATTTTTAGACTTTATCTGCTGGCCAGAAAAGGTCAGCTGTGCTTTGTGGCTCTTCGTCTTACACCTCTAAGACAGTCCCTACTCTTCTGCATTAATTAATTTGTGCTGACTTCTTTCTTAGTCAGCCTGAATGTCGTTTTCTGAGAGCTTATGTTGGGTCTTCGGGATTTTACTTATGTCAGTCTCAGTTTTTAATATACCTTATGCCAGCTTGGTAATTGAAACTGGTGATATTTAATCATTGTGGTGCAGTTCTGAATTCTAAAGATTAAAAAGTATAGTAATAATTAAATGCCTGAAGGCTTTAATGCAAACTTGGAACAAATTGCAGAGGTCCTAGAAATCTCACTTTTGGAATGAGATGATTTCTGAGGGCTGCTTAAATTTCCATCCCTCAGCAGCTGTCTTCTCTTTTTAAAAGAGAGTTCAGCTAACTTGGTGAATGAGCGGGAGGTCCTTAGGTGTGTCTGTGCTAATGGAACCAGTTTTCAGCTCTGCAGGCTGAAAGTCTTGTCACATGTCTTAGGTGACAGTTATGCGGAGAGGAGGTGCCTTGTCTCCCTGGATTATGTGCAGCCTTCACAACCAAAATGGTAATCCTTGTGGTAGCATTTCCTTTACTAATAAATGTAGACAGGTCCTGAAACTGCTTCCTTACCTGTGGAGTAGAGATAAGAGATTTATTTATTTAATTATTTGCACAGTCAATGGATAAATGTTATTTCAGATGTTAAAACATAGCTCTAAGAAACATTTTCTATTAGCATAATTCTGTTGAAGTCAGTGGAGTTACACAAGCAAAAACCTCGATATTATTCTTCATCCGTTTTTATATCTCCCTTTGGTGAGGCTTGAGTCCCAACCATTGGAGAATTGGTCTTTCCAGAGCTAAGTGCTTTCCAGTGAGCTTCAGAGGAAGAAATATTTGATTAGTTTTAATATTTACATGGAGATGGTATGATAAAAATGTTGCGGTAACCAAGGTAGGGGTCTGTGTCAGGGGCAAGGCAGATTGGATCTGGATTCCAACTATCATTTGTGATAGACCAAATGTACTAATTAAGAGTAGTTCTCCCTTCCCTACTACTCCTAGCAGCCAGTGTGGGTCAAGGAAGCCCTGAGATTATTTTTGGCTGATTTGTCCCTAGTCAATCCCAGACTGCAAAAGGGCAGGAAGGATCAAGTACTTCTTTAAGGCAGCTTGGGTACTTTTGGTTCCTGTGAATAGTAAGAATAAATCCATTCAATTATGAACTTTTGAGGTTGGTTTTGGTGGGGTGTTTTTGTTTTGGTTTGGGGTTTTTTAGCTTTTATGAAACTTTGACCATGGTCACTTCGAAGCATTGCATTCATGAAGGCTAATTTTGGCTGCCTGAGAAGCTGGATGAAAGTAACCTGCTGTATATTTAGTAAATCCTGAACAATTTCTGTGTATGTAGTCTTTAAAACCACTAAAATCCATTTGTCTGAAGGGGCCAATCTCAAGAACATGGTTGAGAATTGCTCTAGGATAGCTGCTTCAATGTTGTGAGCTTCATGAATGTAGGTACACTAAACAATGGTAGTTTAGTTTTTATTATTTTTTTTTTAACTTTTCAGACTCTGCCATGTTTGGTTCGAATGTGTAGTAAGGAAAGACTGCTGGAGGAACGAGTAGAAGGAGCAGAAACACTGGCCTATTTGATTGAAACTGATGTGGAGCTCCAGAGAATTGCCAGCATTACTGACCACCTCATTGTCATGCTTGCTGACTACTTCAAGTATCCCAGCTCAGTGAGTGCGATCACTGATATCAAGAGGGTATGTTTCTTTACCCAGTTCCGAAGTTTTGAACATGTGGCAAGAACAATAATAAATGGGATCAGGATATTTTTTTAATTCTATTTAAACTTTATGTCTGAGTTCCTCAATAGAAAGGTGACCAGAGATCCAACAGAACGTGATTCCTAATGCATAGAGTCTCCAAGTCCGTGCTCACTTGTTGCTTTTCTGGAGCCTATATTATCCAAACTGAAATCATTGTGTCTATCTGGACTTTTGTAAGAAGGATGCTGCCATTCTCATATGTCAGAGCTAGAGAGATGGGCTATGGGTGGTTTAATGTAGCTTCACCATATGACTTTCATTACATCCTCCAGAGATAACAGTGGAGTACCAGATTGAGACATGTGTCACGTTTCTTTTTTGCAGAGTTTTAAAAGACTTACCTTCAGGAACCAGTATGTTTCAGCTTCATATGCGAGATTGATTCAAATTCTTAGGTCAGGTTTGTGAAAAATGTTAAGTTTGGAGACAGTTCTGTTAAAGCAGAAAAACATGTGGATGTCATGTAGAATTTCCTATTATGTGAGTTATCTAGAATTGCAAGAAATTAGATAAACAGAGACCAAATATACCTTGGACATTTAAGTTTCGTATGTGTGGTACTAGTTCTCGTCTGTGAAATTTTTGATTTGCATGCACTTTCCAAAGCACTAGTGGATCAATCAAAGCACTAGTGTGATCAGTCAACCTCAGAAGCAAGATTGTTTTTGATATCCTGCATAGGGAGATATCTGTTGCCTATTTTCTTCCACCTCTTACTGAGTGATTTTTAGAAAGTACCCAAAGCAACATGATTACAGAGCTTGGGCGTTCCTTTGAAACTAGCCCAAGAGGCAGACTCACTTCTCAGACGTTTATAGAACAGGATTGATTCTGCCTTGAATTCTATGGAAAGAATGCAAATTAAATATTTAAAAAAAAAAAAAAGATTAGTTGCAGTATGAAGTTAAATAAGAAGAAGGAAGCTTAGCAGCTGTCTGGGGAGTAATGGACATTGGCTGTAGCATCAGAATATGATGAGGTTCCAAATGTGAGTGGGGCCATTGTAAATATTATGACATTGAGTGTACAGGAAGTCTGTAAAAACAGTCCTCTGGGAAGCCAAAGTGCCTACTTTTTACAAAGTGCTTTGAATTATACTCTGTAAGGTAAAAACTACGTGAGTGAGGACTCTGCCAACAGATTACTTGTCTGTTTTAAATATTTTTACCAATAATGTAATACACTTGCTCCAGTATAGCTGCACCGGAGAGATATGCTCATACGGCTTAATTTTTGACAGTTGTTTTATGTCAGTGCTTTGCTGCTTAATGCTAGGATTTTTCTGGTATTTTATGTAGACTTTAAATATTGCATAATTTTGTGGAATGCTCTGGTACAGAGTTTTGAGGGCAGTCAGAATCATTCTGATTAGAAAGAACGTGAAGAGGTCTGAAAGTCTTCATTCTCTGTTCTGAGCCAGGTCAGTGCTGAGCTCAGAGGAGGATGCTCAAGGGTTTGTCCAGTTGGCTCTTGATAACCGCTAAGAATGGGGATTGGAACAGATTCCTCAGAGAGCTTGTTTAAAGTTTGACTATTATAATGATGAATTTTTATTTCTTATATCCAGTGAAAACCTCTCCTGTTTCAATTTGACTTCTTGTCTCTCCTTCCCTTGCTGCGCACTTCCATAGAGAGTCTGGCTCCATGTCCTCCTTGGATATATTGGAGGGCTGCTCTTAGGTCTTTGCTCAGCTTTCTCTTCTTCTGGCTGAACAAGCCAGGGTACACCCCATCTGCTCTTCTCAGGTCAAGGCTCTGTACTCTGCTCTGTGCCTTTCTCACGCCTTTCACAAACTTGAACACCACGGTTTTGATCCCTATAACTAGTGCACTCATTAATTATCATACTCTCAAGCAGTTTTTCCTGATTTGTGAGCAGCAATCAAGTGGTGCATCATCCTAATTCACTCCTCTAGCACATGTGTTAAGAAGTTCCCTTCCAGAAACCTCCTAGACAGCTTGCTGGGTTGGCTTTACAGCAGAAGACAGGGGTTCGCATCCACCTTAACATAGTCCTGTGATTTGGGGACTGGCTCTGGTTCCTGCTTTTGCTGCAGTTCTCTTGATAAAATTTCCCTTGATTCTCTCCCAGTTTTTTCATTGCTTCTGGCTTGTTCCTCTGGGTTTCTGTTGGGTAAATAACGATAGGTTTTGCCTGAATATGGTCAGGATAAAGTTGTAACTTTATAGAAATGTTTTGGCCTCGGAAGGTTTAAGCTAACTTACCTGTAACTCAGCAATTAACCATATTTTTAACTTCAGTTATTATATTCCGTTGGTAAACCAGGACATCAGCTAATGCAACAGCAGTTCATTTGTGTTTCTGGCTGCCCTTGCTGTGGCACAGCAAGTGTTTACAAATAAAATCACATCTGTAATTTTTTAGTGTGTAAATCTGATACCTGTGCTTATTTCTATAGCTTGACCATGATTTGAAGCATGCTCATGAACTGCGCCAGGCTGCTTTCAAGCTCTACGCTTCCCTGGGAGCAAATGATGAAGATATCCGAAAAAAGGTGAGCCTTTTCAGGATCTCTGAATTCAAACCCATAAACTTCTGTTTTGTTGCCAGATGAACTACTTTAGTTAATAGTAAGGAGCCTTCTTCTACATGTCAAAGCACTGTTTTTAATAAATGGTGGGTGTGTACAGGACAAAGTTGATTTATTGTGCACAAGCCATCTTTCATCTTGATACAAGGCCATTTTATCCTAGTCTTAAATGCCTGTGCTGTCCATGCTAAAACTACAATGTATTCTTTCCAGATAGCTCCTCAACGTGTCTCTAATCTGTAGTTGGATATATTCTTTGTGCTCACACATGCTCTTTTGTTTTGAGATGACATTAAGGGTAATTCATATGTGCATATATAGCCCTCTTATTCCTTGATAATTATTAAAATAATTTTGAAAGTAGTAGTGGAGCATAGAATGAAGGGATGTCATCCAGAGGGACCTGGACAGGCTGCAGAGGTGGGCCACTGCCAAACTCATGGAGTTTAACAAGGCCAAGTGCAAGGTCCTGCACATGGGTCGGGGCAATCCCAGCACAAATACAGGCTGGGTGGAGAGTGGATAGAAAGCAGCCGTGAGGAGAAGGACTTGGGGTACTGGTGGACGAAAAGTTGAACATGAGCCGGCAGTGTGCGCTGGCAGCCCAGAAAGCCAACCGTATCCTGGGCTGTATCCAGAGAAGCAAGGCCACCAGGTCGAGGGAGGAGATTCTGCTCCTGTACTCTGCTCTCGTGAGACCCCACCTGGAGTGCTGCGTCCAGCTGTGGAGCCCTCAATATCAGAAGGATATAGACTGGTTGGAGTGAGTCCAGAGGAGGCCGTGGACATGCTCAGAGAACTGGAGCCCCTCTGCTATGATGAAAGGCTGAGAGAGTTGGACTTGCTCAGCCTGGAGAAGAGAAGGCTCCAAGGAGACCTCATGGCAGCCTTCCAGTACCTGAAGGGCCTACAGGGAAGCTGGGGGGGACTTTTTACAAGGGCCTGTAGTGACAGGACAAGGGGTAACGGGTTTAAATTGAAAGTGGGAAGGTTTACATTAGATACCAGGAAGAATTTCTTCCCGGAGAGGGTGGTAAGGCACTGGAACAGGTTGCCCAGAGAAGCTGTGGATGCTCCATCCCTGGAAGTGTTCAAGGCCAGGCTGGACGAGGCATTGAGCAACCTGGTCTAGTTGAAGGTGTCCCTGCCTGTCTGTAAGGTCTGTATGGTCTGTAAGGTCCCTTCCAACCCAAACCATTCTATGGTTCTATTCTATGATTTCTGACTCAGATACACACTACTTTCCACTTAATTGGGGAAGAGAATGTGGCTTGCTGTTTTTTTAGCTACAGTTGTTATATGCAGTATTTTAAATGTTGCAGACAAAAACTCAACAACCCATAAATGCTTGTATTATTTTATTTATATAACATGAATTCCTTTTTGCTCCAGATCATTGAGACTGAAAATATGATGGACCGTATTGTTAATGGCTTGTCTGAGTCTAGTATCAAGGTGCGATTAGCTGCAGTCAGGTAGGAGGCTTTTCTGATTCATGCAAATACTTTTGTCTCGTCAAAGTCTGATGCTGCACTTTTTAGAATTTCCACTAATTTCTCAAAAAGTAATCTGTAATCTGTTGGAAAATGTTAGGAGTGGCAGGGGGAAGTTATCCTCAGTTCTTTTTTTTGCTATTTCAGGCTGCTACTTACCAATTCTAAGCTGAATCTTTGTGTAGAAGCAATGTGTAGATTACAGTAGTCTATGTTTGAGTGTATATGTCTCACAGTGGAGGTTTCTTTTCTGTTATAGATGTTTGCACAGTTTGTCCCGTTCTGTACAGCAGCTCAGGACAAGTTTTCAGGATCATGCTGTATGGAAGCCTTTAATGAAGGTAAGTAATGACAAGTCAAGAGTCAACTACTGAAGTGTTCTGTTCCATGAAAGGAAGATAAGGTGTTTGGTCAATTTGCATGCCTTTCTGTATAAGTATAATAAAAATTACATGGAAATCAAAATTCCATGACCCTCTCCTAGAAGAGTTGTAAATCAACAAAAACCAAGCAATAGCAAAGAGGTCCACGGCTGGGTTTTCATTGCGGTTTTTTTTTCCTCTTTTTAAGTGATCAGTGATTGAGGCTGAGTTATTCCTAATGTTTGTGTAGGGCACTAGGAGGTCGCTATCTCCCTTAATTTGAAGCTCAGACTAGATGGCATAGTTCAGACTTGGTGTATAAGCCCTACAATAGAATTTAGATCTGCATTTTCCCCTATAATTCTCTACCTTCTAGATCTCATTGCAGGTTCTAAAACTGAAGGTAAAGAACTCAGCAAGACCTTTAAAAAGACACATTTTAATACAATGTAATTATCCACATGATTAAATTTAATCAGTGTGTAAGGTGTATATATCATCTCTCATCCTGAAATGTGACTGTCATTAAGTGCAGATAAATAGACAGTTTCTCAGTTACAACATATTTTAGACCTTGAAAATGGGGAACAGGCTAAGTCTGCCAGCAAGAAGCCTGAAAGCTTGGGCAGTACAGACATCCCTGAGACTCCCCTCTTGGGAGGGGGATTCTCTTGAATCCCCTGAAGTGAGCTTGATTCTATTAAAAAATAAAACAGCTGGGCTAGAGAAAGTGGGGTTGGCAAAAATGAATTGAAGAGCCTGGTAACAAGGCAGCTGTGTGAGCTGAGTGTCCAAAGCTTCACCCAAGAGCCTGGAAGGAAGTAAAGGATCAAGAGTTCCTTCAGTTGTTTCTAGTGATATTTCAAGACAAGGAAGATGCCTGTTGGACCTACTACTGAGTGACATTGTGTTCAGGCCTGACTTTCTACGTTCTGCTTACATTCTAATTCTCACGAGTTACTGACTCGAGAAAACTTGAGGTACTAGTTACACTACACTGTGGCCTGGCTGCAAACAAAAAAAATTTTCGTGGCCTTTTCTGTTGCTTGCATGAATTAGAAGCCCTAAATTATGGGCCTACTTTTTTCTACGGTTTCATGATAGAAACAATGCAGAAATTATTTTCTGGCAATATATGCACTTATGACAAGTTAAGCATTCATCCTTGAATTGGGTGTGTGAATTGTGCTACTAATCCATGGGTGTCTGATTCATTAGTTTTATTGGGAGGTCAGGGGAGAGTTGATCCCGCAAGTTTTTGCTATCACTATAGCGTAATAATCCCGTGACTGGGGACACATGTTCGTCACCTGAAGTGCCTTGGCTTGAATATTTTAAGAGTTTGTGAAAGGCCAAATGTGAAATCATCAAATCTTTATAAACGTAAACTAGAAAACAGGCAGGGCTTTTTAAAGAAGCACAGTTAGCATAAAGGAGAGCCATGTGAAAAAGCACAAATGTGTATGTTGGACTTCGGTGTAGATGCAGCTGCGGGCAGTTGTTCATTTTGATTTGTATTAAAAAAAGCTGTATGTTCATTCCAAAATGTCAAGAATTAATAGAAAAGGAAAAGTAATATTAAATAGAGATAAATTAATTTTCAGTGTAGATTAATAGCAGCTACATACATCATTTCTCTCTCCCCTAATATATGTAGCTGTGTAAGAACGATGTAGGACTTAGGTATGTGTACTTCAGTGCAAGCTGCTGTAAATGCAGTAATTGTTAATGTTTGCAGTTTGCTTGCTGCTCTGAAACAAAAGGTGGTACAGAATAACCCCTCCGTTCCCCCTTTCTTTGCTGGAGGAGCAGTTGTATCCTCCATGCCTATTTCTCACTGAGTTTTCTCAGAACATGCAAGGGAGATGCCCTGTTTAAGAATGGTGTATAGTGGTCGTGCTGGACCAGACATCAGTGGTCCTGCTGGACCAGATCCAGACACAGGTAAGGGAGAGTATAACTTGTTCCAGGCTACTTGCTTTTGTGAAAGGGTGGTCATGAGTAAATTTGCTGTGTTGCTCATTGCACAAGGTGCAGAAGTGTTGAGGAGGTTCCTCCTGGAGCTTCCTCTGCTTTTCTGTAAACCATGGCACAGTGGTGCGCTGCAGCACGCAGCCTGCTCTCTGTTGAGAGAATGGCTGCAGAGCTGCATTACAACCACCAGCACTTGCAATCTTTGCAGGATGGGGATCTGTTCCCACTTATTTCTATTAAATTGGACCTGAAAGCTCTCAGACCTGGCTTCTATGAAATAACGTTGTGTTGCACCAGTTTGTCATGTAACGTTTATCATCCCATTGAGTTGAACGAGCCCTGTCTGGGTCTGCCCTGCTAGCATCAAAACATCTTCTAAAGTATGAAATACTAAAGTGCAGAAGAATTACAGGTATTCCATTTCAAAATGATCGCTTCCTTATTGTACTAGTTAACGAAGATTCCTCACTCTCCCCTTTGTGACTGCAGGTTTTACAGAATGCTCCAAATGAAATTCTTGTAGTAGCATCTTCCACGCTATGCAATCTTCTTCTGGAATTCTCTCCAAGCAAGGAGGTTAGTATTTACCCAGGAGTAGGAAGAGGTAAAAGACAAAAGTTACATTATACAATGGTTCAGTGAGCATGAAGGTTATCTTAATTGGTAGCCACTGCTTGTGAAGCATTACAGAGCTGTAATGTTAGGCAGGCTGTATCACTGATAGCCTGTAAATGAAAAAAAAATCATCCGTTTACAATGCTGTCACAGTTAAATATGGTTGAATAGTTAAATGTAGTCTCTAAAGAAAGGAAGTAGACATCAGTTTTTGGAGTTGTTTTACTTAGGAAACACTGTTATCCAAAAAAAATCATAAGTAAGATGAAAACAAATTGATAATTAGCAATATGATCCATTGCCGTAGAGAATTACTTCTGTAATCTTGAAAATCCCGGCATAGCTGAGTCTTGTGGTTTTTGTTCTTGAATGAACGATACAGGCTATGTGTTCTTGAGTTTTGCACTGTCTGTATTTCATGCAGATCATACATATGTATTAATGTTTCATAGCACTGGGGCAATTCCCTAAATCTTACGCATCTCTTAATTACAGAAAACATTTGCAAGATCATGGTGTATGTGGGCTTCTGTAGAGCACTTTGGATTACCTTGTTTTGGTCAGTTGATTTGGGTGGGTTTAGTCATGTCTGAGGCAGAAAATTAACTGAAATAGCGCCAAGCACAGTTCGGCGTCCTATGGGCTTTCTTGTTCATACTGCAGGTCACACTCAGCATAGTGCTTCCACTTCAAATTGGGTTGAAATACCAAGTTTTCTACTGGGACACATGGTTCATGTAAAAAACATTGCCAGAAGAAAATACTGCTTATGCAAAATGAAAGAATATTTAAAATGTTAGATTTGAAAGCATCCATAAGTTATCAGATCTATTTGATATATCATCCTTTTTTTCTGCATATTATGCAAATGGTATGTAAACTGCCAGTCATTTAAGTGAACAAAGCCAAAGTGGATCTGTTTTACCTGTAAAAGAGCTGAGTCAGCTCCAGTTTTGGAAGGTCTCCCATCTGCTGTGGCTGTGGAGAAGTCCCTAGGAGCCAGCCAGCTACTGGGCCCATGGCAAATAGCTGGCAGCGTATTGTGGTGCAGAAGTGTCTGGGACCAGGTGAACCATGGCAGAAAGTCCTGCTGCCTGTCTCTGTTACAGTCTTGCTGCTGTTCAGGGAGACAAGCCTGTTCCTACAAAGGGCAGCTTTTTCCACATGTTTTCTGATGAATTAAGCTCTTAAGCAGGTTAAAACTGACACAACTTCACAAAAACTCAGATATGTTCAGTTATTTGCTGCTTTTGAAGCAGTAAATTCTGGAAGAAAGGAACACCTTACAAACTAGAGTAGCATAACTCGTTGGATGAACCCTTTTAGGGGCATGAGGTCTCCAGGTCATGAATAAAACTAGTACTTCAAATTCGGTTCAGGTTGAAAGTGATTGTTTCCAACTTAATTTTCATTACGTTAATCAGTTTGAAGGAAAAGGTGCATGCATTGATATTTTTCCTGTCATTTAAAGATGATGATACTACAAGGCTTTGCACTTCAATGTGATAATCAAGAACACTTTCTAATTTTCTTTGTTATGCTAAAGTTTTTCTGTAATGTTTTAGTTTGGCCTGATTGCTAAACGCAAAGTTTAAATATCAAGAAAGATATCAAGTAGCTTTATTTGGTCCTTAACTCCTTTGAACAGCCACATATGTCCCAGTTGATACCCGAAAAGATGTGATTGCTCAGGGAAGACTTCTTGGAGAGCAGTCCCAAGGTGAATGTTGTTGGGGAAAACCCATTTGCTTGTGTGAGTGTGGCAGATGTGTCTGTAGTGTCACAGCAGTATATGTGTGTGTGTGTGTATGTATATATACACACATATGCACACATGTGTATGGCTATGTATATACATGTGTACACATACACGGATACACATAGAGAATAAAACCATCTTGACCTGAGTTTTTTTCATAACAACCTACGTTTTAATGCTCGTGGATATAGGGTATGGCTTGGCCACTTCTTGTGAGTGGACCGGACATGATGTAAACGTGTATTGTATTTACATTTGTATATATGTCTAATGACTCTTAAGTAGTGTTTTAAAGATTCTTTTTTTCTTCTCTTCATTTTAGCCTATTTTAGAATCAGGAGCCATAGAACTTCTATGTAGTTTAACACAGAGTGAAAATCTTGCCTTGCGAGTGAATGGCATTTGGGCTTTAATGGTAAGCAGAACACACGGATGAAATACCACTTGTGATTTTGCTTCTTAAAAAATTTGTGAATGTAACTTAAAGAACTCATCAGTTGTTATTAAAAATAACACAGCTGAAATCTGGCTTGTCTTTCCACCTAACTACAGCAGGAAAATAGTGTCAGCCTGGAACCCTTCATCAATTAGTCCATAAAATAAACTCTTCAATTTTGATGCCGGTTTGGTTGCCAGGATCATTCAGGGAAACAGTTAATTAGTGTCGGTAGTGTGCCAGGGGACAAATAAAAGCAGGTAATAACCAGGTTAGCTGCAAGACTGTGTGAAAATTTAATTTGCTGTGCAGCAGTTCCTCATAAATTTTAAGCCTTGCAAGATCAATTTTAGCAAGGATATAGGCTTGCAGGTAATAGTCTACTGAAAGAGTGAAAGCTCACATTTAAGGTAAAAAAACCAAGCAAAGAACTTCTCTCTCTTTCAGAATATGGCATTTCAAGCGGAACAGAAGATCAAATCAGACATCTTACGAGGTCTGAGTACAGAGCAGTTATTCCAGTTGCTTTCTGATTCCGATGTAAATGTTCTAATGAAAACTTTGGGCCTGCTCAGGAATCTTCTGTCTACTCGCCCGGTAAGTAGAGCTGCAAACAGACCTTCTTCTCTGAAAGCTGATCAAACATGCAGACAATACAAATTCAGTCTTAATCTTTTTTGTAAGACTACATTTTTCTGTTTAAGATTGATATTTGATATCTTGCTAAAACTGAGGTCTTTTGGTTACAGATAGTGGATAAATCCCATGTACACGTCAGTGTAAGAAAACATTTCAAAGAATTCTCTACATCCACTGAAACGTCGTAGTTATCAAATGCAGAGCTAGACTGTTGCATTTGCTGTTCAATTCCATTGTGTGTAGCTTTCAGCAAAACTCTTTTCCTAAGAGTCTTTCTGTGAAAGTTGTCCAGAACAAGAGTAAAAGGGTTGCACTGTTGAGTCAATGTGTGGAGCTACATATCTTAAGGATACCTGTGTTTCTTTCTTGACACCTGAAATATTTCTGTTCTTATCCAACTATATAAATAGTACTGGCTTTTTGAATTTGACTGTGGGACTGTGCACCTACAAAATGCATACGTTCATTTGACACACTGAAATAAAATGGTTTGAAAATGTAAGCCCATGAATTGTTTTTGACAGGGAGAAAGAGATATTGGTGGAGGAAAAGAAAGGGGTAATCCCCTGTGAAGAACAGAGGGAAAACATGCAGCAAACATTTGGCAAGCCAACATTTTTGTGGGGGAAAAAAACCACGAAGCCTCTACTGTGCATTTATCACGTATTGTGTTTCTACCATAAAAAGGTCACTGCAAAAAATCTTCTGATATTTGTACTCGTTGAGTCTCAATAAGCTTCATAGAAAATTAGCTCTGTCTTAATGTGAAAAGATATTTAATAATCAGTCATTCATTAAATTCACCCGGAGCTCTGCCGGCAGAGTCTCATTATCACTTAAGGTGTTCTTCATCTGAAACTACGTCCCAGCCTCACCTACTTGCTGTAGTATGTTTTAGAGCCAGAACCAACCATTCTCATTCTCTACCCAAAACTCACTCCAGAATAACCCATCTGGCGGCTTTCAAATGAATCTTGTTGTTAGCAGTTTTAAGAAGAATCCCTAACGTCTTAAAAAATCCGTAGTGTGCCACGTGCTGGTAATCTCTGGTTTGCTGTCACTCGAGTTTTGGTATCAGTTAATCCAGTAAATCTAGCTTTATCTTTCTCTGTTACTTTCAGTGATCAATTTAATTCTAATGTAGGTGTTCTAGTCTGTGATCAGATGTCCTTTTACCTGTAAGTCTCTTAACTTGAGACAACTTTCCTAGGTGATAAGTAATGTGTATGGCTTATTTCTCTGAATCCTCTGACTGTTGAAATGTGGATATTGGACCTGGTCAGTGTTCCAGTAAGCATAGAAAATACCAGATAAGAAACCTCAGTTTTCTTGTCCCTGTCTGATATCCCCCTGTTAGGGGACAGAAGGGGTTCTTTCTAACTGCAGCATCATACTTAGAGCTTGGGTCCAGCAGGATTCAGTCTTCAGACTGGCCTCCGTGCAACTGGGAAACCAGTGTCTCTTCCACAGATGACAGTGAAATCAGAACCAAGGCCCATATCGTGCTCTCTCAAACAAGACCAGGCTTCAAATGAAGAGGAAAATTATGAAGTGTTTTTATGCTAAGTTCTTGGTTTGGGGAGACCTTGCTAGGAGCTAGAGTCTTTGTGCAGTGTTGCTACTCTTCGCTTAGAGAAATTCAAGTAGGAATGCCCCTTCTTTGTCTGAAAAGTTACGCTGATCGTATTTTGTCATTGCTTTGGCAGCACATAGACCATATAATGAGCACTCATGGGAAGCAAATCATGCAAGCAGTGACCCTCATTCTGGAAGGGGAGCACAATATAGAAGTCAAAGAGCAGGTACTTCTTTTTTTTTCATGTTGTCTTGGCAGAATAAAATTTAAGAAACAGCTAAGAATGCTTACTCTTCTCAACACGTGATTCTTGTTTGGGATTATGATGTGCTGTGAATATTTGGTGAGATCTGTCAGGTGAATAACTTGTATTATCTACAAGTGTGCTCTTTTTCCTAATGGATTATTACATATGTGTTTGAATTGGATTCAGAATGGGGTTTTTTTTAAATGCAGGTTTGGTAAAGATGAGGGCACTGCATGTGAGAGCAGAAGAATTAGATTTAAGGCAATTGTGTGGCAGAAAGAGGACAGTAGGAACTAGGGAGGTGAGACAAGCCAGAATTTCACACTAGGGAGAGCATCATGGTTATTTGTTCCTAGAACAGCCAGCAATGAGGAATACTGTTGTCACCTGCCTTGCTGGCAGTACTGCAGGTTCTGGGGGAGATGTGGGAACTCTGCTGTTCCTGGGTGCCCGCAGGAGCCAGAGCGATTAGAGGAGGAGAGTCACTAGCAGGGAAAAGAGTATGCTGGTGTAGCCTGGGAAAAAGTGGGGAGGGATATGCCCTGGCAAATTAAAACTTAAGAAAAACAATATGCAAGAGGAAAGGGAGAAGGAAAGAGGAGAATGGGCAGCAGGGGAAAGTATCCCTGTCTTGGTGGCAGCATCAGGGGGCCAGCGTACTGGGTACCTGCTGTGGGAATGCTAAAAGCAAAGGTGAAAGGGTAGAGGAGCAGAATTTGGCTGATTAAGTCCTGGGACAGACAAGATAGTCAATTGGAGAACCTGTTTCTTCCTTGTACAGGGCATGTGGTGATGAATGAGGGCAGGAAAAGGCTGTGGGAGATTCCAGAGGACTGCTTTGGCTTAGGGTGGATATTGGTAGAAAACAGCATGGCAAATGAGTGTAAAAATATGGCTAAATCCCGACTGGTCTAAATCTCTGCTCAGTGAAGAATGGGCTGAAGGCAAGCAGGCCTTTTATGGCTGTTTAAGTGTAAAGTTAGCAAAAATACCCCCAAAGCCTCTCAATAGAGATAGCAAGTTTAGTGATACCATGGTTGTGAAACAGCTGAGGATTAACAAGTTGTGTTTCTAAGTAGCTCTTCCTGATAAATGTCTAGCGACAGGACTGGCCTTCATTGCAATAGCTTATTTACCTTTCCAGGCGTCTCAGAATTATTTTTGAGGAGAATTGGTGTATCTGAGGGAGACTCTTGGAAAGGGCTAGTAGACTAGGGTTGAATATAGCCTTTAGGGTTTGGGACCCATGTATACAGAGCATTTTCCTTGTCGCTGTGGCGTGATCAGCAGCTTGCTTTTGTTTCAGAACCAAGTCATTCATCCAGTACTGCCTATCTGCACACAAGAGCCCCATGCTTCTAGCAGAACAGTGCTTATCTCTGTCACTGACTGGCTCATCAGTGTGTAATTCACAGCTTGGAGGTAGTAAATCTCTACAACTGCTGACATGAACGCGGTGCAGCTTAGACACAGGCATCGTCCAAGTGCTGATCATTCTCCAGTGTCCTCCTGTGGTTACCCCTGTGTATCCAGAGAAGATGGTTAAGTTCTTCCACGGCTCTTTGGGAAAGAACTTGTAGAACATCTCCCGGTGCCTCCTGAGAAGCAGGGAAGCTGCCTGTGCAAGCCTTAATGCTGTGTGTGTAGTGCCAACATGGGCCTTAGATGCTGAAGGTTATTCTGCAGGATGGCTTCTCAAATTTGCCAGGAATAACCAGATGCATTAATAGTCTGAGTTGTCTCTGCAGCTAAGAGATGTGATTAGACTTGTTGAAAACAAATTACTCTGCTAGATCAGCAGATAAGCTTCTGTGTTTCCTTTTTCTGTCCTGAAAAACTAGATGGATATGTATGTTTGGTGTTGGTTTTGTTCTGTGGCTTTTTTTTCCCTAGCCACTGATACAGAATAGACTGCTTTATTTTCCAGTGTCTTTAATCTTTTCTATATACTGCATATTTCCATGAGAGACTTAATTCATTTCAGTGAGTAAAATGTTAATGAATGTTAGGGTTTTTTTCTAAAATGGCAATGACTGTGTTTTGCCAGGGCTGTTCATCCACAGCTGTTAACTCTGGCATTGGCCCCAGATGTAAGCAAGCTGGAAGCACCAGATTAAAGATATTAAAACTAATTAAAGAAATTGTTTGTCACAAGTTTAAAGCTGTCAGGCAAACTGTGTAAATCGCGGGATATAATCTGTGGCCAAATTACATGTTTTTCTCTTTCAGACATTATGCATACTTGCCAATATAGCAGATGGAACGACAGCAAAAGAACTGATTATGACCAATGATGACATCCTGCAGAAAATCAAATACTACATGGTATGGGGAATTTCTCGTGAAGGTTTTAAGTTTGTCCTTTGCAGGAATGAGAAGAGGGTACTTCAGCATTTTGTTGTGTGAATTAGTATCATGCACTTAACTTGCACGTACCCAGTTGTGTTTAAGAAATCACGTAGTGCAGTTCTATGTGGTAGAGGTGTATTGAGGAGCTGATCAAAAGGAAAATCTAGTGGTTATTTCCCGTGAGAATGCTACAGTGCTTTAAGCAATACCTGTAACAGATCTGCATGGAAAACTTTTCATGATCTTGGAAAAGGCCTGACTGTAGATCTCAATAACTATTTGGAAGAAAGTTGTGGAATGCTACTCAAGTGCCTTATGATGTGGCGCTGCCTTTGAGAGAAGTTAGTTATAGGTAAGAATCAGTCCCAGCTTTGCCTCATTATTTATTACAGAATGAATGCCAAAATGTAAGCCTGAGAATTTCTGAATTTCTTTTTCTAAACTTGAGACTATTTTTCTTTATTTAGAGTCATTCAAATGCTAAACTTCAGCTTGCTGCCATGTTCTGTATATCTAATCTCATATGGAATGAAGAAGAAGGTAAGAAAGCCTCATTATTAGTGTATAGACAAGTTACTATCCTGATCAAAAGGCTGATTTTGCATAGTAATCAATATTTGAAGTGCACAGCACAGCAGGGTCCAAAGATTAAAGGGAGAGATCGTTATAGGTGTAGTGTGGAGTAAGTGAGAGTGGTCAGGAGGACATTGAGGAACTGTAGAGAGATGTTTTGGGGCAGGAAGAGGAGACATGGGAGTGTCAATAAATAGGAGTTGATGAGAGTGACACAGTGGGAGGTTTCCACCTGTAGCGTTTCTGTAAAACCTGAAAACAATTGGAGTGAAAGAGAATCCCGGTAAGAGAGCTTCCCAGTATTTAGAAGCTTGTGGAAACTCATTGTTGGAGGGAGCAGGTTTACTGGAGAGGGTAAATGAATCAGAAAGGGGATTTGTTGCAAAGAAATTCTTCCCAGTATGGATGGCTTGAATGTACTGGGCAGTGAAGCTCTGAAACCAGCCAAAGGACTTGTGGGTGGAACTGGGAGGAATGGGGAAGGCATTCAGTAAGAAGTCATGGCCAGGAACAGTGGAAGGTAACCAGGAGGGAGCTGAAGAATGTTGCACAGAAAAATGGGTGTGTTTGTGTTGAGGGGTGGAGAGGGCAGGTGGAGGCAGCAGTGTGGAGCTGGCAGAAATGGCAAGGAAAGGAGTGGTGGGAGGTGGTGTGCTTTGCAGAGTGGTGGGGCTGGGAGGCAGACTTTCTTAGATAGATGATTTACAGACCCTCAGGTTGACCATGCTGCTCTTCAGCAAAGAAAACAGTGTCTCTACTTGGATATGGGTTGGGGTTTTTTCCCTTCTGTGTAACTTAGTCCACACGGAACTTCCTTCAGTGTGTGACGTGTGGCTAAGCTCCTGGTGGCTTTCTGCTCATTATACTGGCGTTGTACAGGGCTACAAGCCACGCTCAAAACCACACCTCCAGTTAAAAGTTTCTTGCATCCAAATTGGAGAGAATAAGCTAGCTAAGTCAGCCTTCTTGCTGTAGGATAAAATGTATTCAGATTTTTGCCTTCAGGATTTTCTTTTCTTCACACAGATGCACACAGAGTACAGAGAAAGAAGCTAGAACTCCCTTGGGAAGTAGCCACAACTGAGGGATTTTTTTCATTGCTGTGTTCTAGCTGAACTGTGTGCCATACCCCTCCTTTAAGCCTGATTTTGCTACTGCTCCTTTCTCTGTTCTGCGGATGTTTATTTTTGCTGTGACTTACTGTTGTAGGTTCTCAAGAACGCCAGGATAAACTACGAGACATGGGAATAGTAGATATTCTACATAAATTGAGTCAGTCATCGGATCCAAATCTGTGTGACAAGTGAGTATAAAGAAAAATCCAGAAAGACAATTAGAGGGAAAGCTTTGCTTTTTATTTTAAAAGTATCATTTTTGAAATCTTTTGTGGAAAAATTCCCCAGAAAAACTGTCTGTCGCCCCACTGCATTTTAGGGTGTAGAGAGAAATTGTTATCTAAAGAGCATGGTTTGTATTGCTGAGGAGTAACAAATTTTACAAAGTTCTTAATAACATAAAATATCTATACTGAAGATCTTCTAAAGCAGTGGAGGGTCCTCTCCGAAATCTCACTGATACACAAGTATTTGTGTGAACCTCAGACTACTAACAAATTTCCAGAGGAAAGGAACAATGGTAAATCATCTCATAGGACTATAAATTAAGAAGATAATACAGGATCACCACTGTTGTTCATCTCGATTAAGTTCTTTTAAACTAATTAAGCTTGACAGTAACTTTTCACATACCTGTTCTGCTACTCATATTATGGTATCTACACAGCTCATCTAGATTCTTCACAAACACGTATAACTAGCAGGTAGTGACAGTTTCTGATTTTTTATGTTGTCTTTTTGCGATTATCCCACCTACAGTTAGTAGCAACCCATATTTCTTTGATGAGCTACAGGAGATGATCTGATTTTTTGGAGGAGTTCATACACAGACAACACAGCTCAGAACTGTGCAGTGTTTTAAAATGAATGAAATTTGGGTTTCTTGTTTTTATGAAAGATTTTTCAGTGTTGTTAGACATCTTTCTAATTAAGTTAGGACTTCTCTGTTTAAAGTCTATGCTAAATTGTCAGTATGGAAAGTGATAATCAGGAACATACAAACATCCATAATTTTCTGTGGGCCTACATATTGAAAAGCTGAACAGGTTTTTTAGACAGCGAGAAATAGAAATAAAACTTACACTGGTAAAATTACTTTCTGGTAAACAGGCCTTGCTTGGCAACACTTAAGCCATGGTTTAAGAGCTGGTTGTTCTTAGCACTGTTGCGAGTCACTGTCCCTCCTGTTTCTCTGGCCACCTGTTCTCACTGTTGACCCTATCCCAACTCTGCCTCATCAGCCCCCACAGTGAGCTGATACAACTTGTGAATGTAGCAGGAAACTTGGAAGGAAAAAGTAAATCATCTTCCTCTGGGTGCTGAGGTGTGTCAGATCTTGGAAAAGTCTGTCAAGGCCATGATGACATGGTTGGGAAGCGTGGGGGACAACAGAAGAGCAAAGCTTCCATCTTCGGGTGGTAGGAGACACTGAATTAGCTGAAGTGATAATGAAATTGTAACCCTAGGCTTCTGTGAGGTGTTCTTTTCTTAACAAAAATGTTGCACAGTGTCATGTTACATAAATTCCAGTATGACACTGGCTGTTGCTGCTTTTCTCCCTTTCACCTCATTGTATGTTTTTGGTAGGGACGGTACTCCTGACAGGACTAACGTGCTTCTAGTGTGCTCTGAGTTATGAAACCTCTTTCATTGCTCAGCTCCAAGACCTGCTTGTCATGGTACATCTGCATTACAGAAGCGTAATTACTCTTCACAATTACTGCTTTTAAGGGTTTAAGGTGTGTTGATAATGGAGTTCAACACACATCTTAAACCACACTGTACTTGAAAGTTGCTCAGTTTATGCTGAGCATCTGATAGACTTGGTTAGATCATCTTATTCTTAGATGTGTGGTGGATTCTTAAATGGTTACAGCCCACGCAGAGCAGTTCTGCACCATGGGCTAGATTCTTCCAAACTGGAGGAGCCAGCCCCTCGGCATCCTTTTGCCTCGCTTGTTTGTCCTCCCTCTCTTGCTGGCACAGTGCATAGTTTTGTACATAATGCTGTTGATTACAAAGCCAAACCCCAATAATTAATAGCCTGTTCCTTTATTGCAGGGCGAAGACAGCACTCCAGCAGTATCTTGCATGATCAAAGACTAATTGAATCTATGGACACCCCTCATGTCTACTTAAGGAATACCAGGAGATGTTCCTGACTCCTTATATTTGCACAAGTCACCTTGGGCTGCATTTTCCTCAGGTGCAGGGAGCTGCTTTGCAGAAACAGTTTAAATGATCAGGTCTCCAGTGCACTTGAGAATTTTCTTGAGGTAGTTTCTTTACTCAGAGGACTCTTGGGGGGTTGTTTTGGTTTTTTGAGGTTTTTTTTCCTGAGCTACCTGGACTTTCAAAAAGAACAATCAGTCATCATTTTCCTTTTGGGCCTACAATTTTCTGCTTTTGCTGCAGCCTGCGTGTGTGGATGTGTGTGGGTGTGCTTGAGTGCGTGCTTGGGTGAATGTGTGTGGGGGTGATACCTCGATTTTGTTTTTCCTTTTTTTTGTGTGAAAATCTTTTTCTACAGGTTTTCAAGGGTTAACCGTTGTTTGCTGTACAAATACTTCAATGAATTATATACAGTTTGACTGAAATGTTATTTAAAAATACCAAACTGTTGTATCCCATAAAGTTTATTTTGAATTTTGAACAGATGAATGTTTTTAAGTAAAATATATGCATTTCCGAACTTCAGCTTAACTTACATAATACTTCCTTCTTTAAGGAAAAAAATAGAGGGAGACAGTAGACCCCAAATTATAAGCAGCACATTCTATACTGACAAGGTCCAAGGGTGTTTTACCGCCATACAGGGTCACCTGGTACTGATGACATGCTCAGATTCACGGAATGGGTCAACTAGATTGGTTTGGGTTTCTTTGTTTTCAGAAGAAAAGCTCATACTTCAGAGTTAGCATGACTCTTGGCTTTTCTGGGAAGGAACAGGTGGCTGCAATATCAGCAGGCATAAGCTGTTGCTTTAGTAGCCAAGAACTTGCTTGGATAATTGCTGAAGGATTAGCTTATTTCACTGGTGATAAGTACTTGCTGATCACTGATATCAGTAGAGCGAACAGTATGTTGCAGGAGTTAGACTTTCAAGAGACCAGAAGGAGCTGGCAAGCAGTGATTAAGGGATTGCTTTTGTTTTGCATCCTTTACCTCCAGATATAGTGAAGTGACTTACAAATTACTTCCACGAAAGATGAGCTAGGTGCGTTAAGTTGGGGAAGGGATGGGAAAATTGGGGGTTTGGTTTTGGTGGGATTTTTAGCTCAGTAATGTTGCTACAGATTTTGTGTATATATGCCGATATACACGCTTGCATGAATTAGGATACCTGGATAATAAGCGATGGGATTTTACTGCATTCAGAAGCCTGATTGTCCCTAAGTTCCTGAAATTGTGCCTGTGAGTGTGCAGAAAAAAACCCAGTGCACATGAAGACAAGGATGTAAGCTTAGGCTGGAATATGAGACCCCAGTGGCTTCACAGTCAGATACACATAGAAACAAATGAGGGCAGCAAGGAGCTCTCCTTCAGGCAGTTCAGGGTTCTTGCTTTCTTCCCGTGTCTACTTTCTGACTTCAGTTTAGACCGTGGTTTTAATAGTCTGAATCTCCAAACACTATATTTACATAGCACTAACAGGCACAGTAAAGATTGCAGCCGATGTCTTAAACCAAATCTTGCTTTTGTTGCATTGAACTTCAGGAAGGCTGCAGCAAGAAGAGAGGTCTGTAACTTTGCTAACCAATCTTGATAAGTATCTTAATCTTTTATTTCTAATTGGAAGGTCAGATGGCGATAGCCGCCTTCTTTTTCCAAGGTAACTACTTGTGTCAGAAAATGTGACCACAGTTTGGCCTGGAATTTGAATGTGCTATGTATCAGAAACTGTTACCACTTGGTTGCAAAGGAGAATATATACATTTCATGTAACTTCTTCCACTCTTGAAAGACAAATAAAAGTGAGCACCTGACACTTTTTTCCCCAGGCATTGCAGTAAGTGACTGGCGGTTTCTTAATGTCCTTCTGCAAATTTGTCATGATGGACTTCGTGGGCTGAACAGAAGGGAAAGTAAAAATATGTGAGAACTTGATGAATATCAGTACCTCGGCAATGATTCTCATTTATACAATTCACTCAAATCTATTTTTGAACCGAGGCAGAAGTTCGAGGCAGAGTATTGTAAATGCCGAGCTGTACAGCGTGCATCTGACTTTGAAATTCCCACTCCTGCTGTGTGTGTTTAGGAGCTCAAGTTCTTACATATCTTTCCTTGTCCTCCCCCAACTCACGTTTCTAAAAGCAAACCTTAGTTTGATTCTGTGAAACTTCGGTGCCTAAAGGTGTTCAGAAAAAAAAAGGTGGGTAAGTATCTGTGTACGTGTTTTGAGGTGGTTTCCTAAAATTCTATCAGAAAAACTAAAAACCAATGCTCAGACAATCTTGTTGCTGCATGACAACAGCTGACAATTTCCACAGCTAGTGACAGGACGAACTGTTGGATGAGAACATTTTTTACATTCAGTTAAGCTTTGTGAGTAATTTTTGATGTTGCTATAGGAATGTACAAAAAGAAGAATACTGTAAATAAAAAGAACTTTACCAGAACATCTAGATTTTTCTCAGCTTCCTGGAGAAATCTCAGCTTTCTGTGCCACTGCCTGAGATTCACAGTGGGAACAGACTGGTTGGCCGGATCTTTACCAAATTTCTTTAGGTAGCAGCGTATTGGGAACTGCAGAGTTGCTTGCAGAGCCGCAGCAAGTATGGAGTTTGTCTGGACATAACACAGATCACCCAGCTTTCTGCTGTGCTTCTGCCATTTCTCTTCTGAAAACCAGTCCTAATGAATTCTGACCAGTATGTCCACTCTTTGGGTGCAGCGATGGTAGTCCTTCTCTGAAAGGTTACGTGTGTCAAAAAGTGAGTGGTTCTGCGTGGAGTCTGGCGTGCGAGCTGTTGCTCCCCCGCTCTCCAGTCCACGTTTGGAGTAGTCTCTCCCGCGCAGTCAGAGTCTTGTAATTTGGCTGTTGTGCCATGCTAAGATTTGCACTGTGATGATGGAAGAAGCAAAGTGACCTGCTCAAAAGAATCTTGTGCCAGTACATTCTTCAGCCAAATCTCTTATGTTTTAAAAGTTATTTTTGCAGACTTTAGCTGTTGCGGTAGATGCTGCACCTCCCTGAAACATCTGAAGCAGCGGCACAGCAGGCAGAAGAATAATTGAGGTGCATGAGATTAGATTCTTGAAGACTAGAAAATGAGTTTAACAAAGATGCCTTTGATAATCTGAAAATGTAAGTCCATGAGAGCTGTGAACATGCAAAATTTCAGTGGTGGTTAAAAATCATCAGCCCTTTACTGTAGGCTCATTTCTACAAAAAGGGATGGTTGCTGGGGGGATCTGGGGTGCAGTTTGTTCTGGTGAGCTGTTGCTGGAGGTAGGGGAGCCCCTGCCAGCGCTCAGCCCTACCGTGTCCCCTGGAGGCACTGGACAGTGTCCCCTCGGCTTGCCGGGGGCACTAGGGGAGTTGATGTGCCAAAAGGTGAATCCTCAACCTGGAGGGACTTTGACCAGCTGGAGGACCAGACACCAGCCATCGTGTGCTGTGTGACGAAAAGCCTGGTGACCCCAGGCCTGGGCATGGAGAGGGTGAGCAGCAGCCCTGCCCAAAGAGGGATCACCCTGGGGGGCTGCGCTCACTGCAAGGAGGAAATAAACCCACCCAACCTCCAAAACTTGAGCTGCCTTTGGAGTGGGCCCTGCAGTTTCTTCCCTCTGCTCGTGCCTGGGAGGCTCGCGGCCAGATCCTGTGCCCTGCTCCTGGGGGCACAGGGCACGCAGGGGCGGTGGGGCAGGTTTGGTAGGCAAAGGGGACGCAGAGGAGCTCTGCCTGCTGCGGCTTGTAGGGAGTAACGGGGTTGGAGCTGAACTTCTGGCCGCAGCGGAGACGGAGAGGGGAGCGGGGCGGGCTG